GGCATTTGCCTTGAATGTGGACAACCTGGGTTCAATGCCTAGCATCCCTTATGGTCCACTGAGTACTGCCAGGAGTAATTCCTAAGTGCAGAGCCAGGAGTAACCCCTGAGCATCGCTGGGTGTGACCCAAAAAGCAAACAAACAAAACAAAACAAAATCCCCCAAAGCCTTAGACTCTGACAACAGAGCTAAGGTTGCCAAGGAGTTAAAGAGGGGAATGTGGGAGCATTAGAGATAAGGCAAACAATATTAATACTAATATAAAAATAATTAATCGAAAAGAGTTCATGAAATCGGTATTCCTGCCAATAAACAGAGAAACTCAGGGATAGGCCTGTAACTCTGTGACTATTTTCTCCCATCCAGTAGGATATCTATTTTTCTTCTATTATTTAATTTGGGGCCACACCAATGGTCGTCAGAGCTTTTATTAGGCTCTGTGCTCAGGGATCACTCCAGGCGGGCTTGGGGGATCATATGGAGTGCCAGGGATCGAACCCGGGGTCAGCTGCATGCAAAGCAAGCAACCTACCTGCGGTACTATCATTCTGGCCTCTCTGTTTTATTTTTCTTAAGGCTGTGAATTTAGAACATGCAACAAACAAACAAACAAACAAAACAGGTTTCTCTTTATGATAGAACAAATTTGACTAAAGACCTGGCCGCAGGTGACTAGCAGCATTCCACATACTCCTGAGTCTGAGAAGGCGGAACAGCTTGGAAAATGCTTAATGCAAGAGCTTCTGAAGACATGGTGAAGGTCTTTCAGACAAGAGAGGAATACGTTCCTCTGTTATTTTTTTATTCATTTCAGTTTTTGGAGTGCTCTGGGGCTACCCCTAGCCCTAGCTGAGCTCCTGGCAGTGCCCAGGGGAAATGCAGTGATGGGGTAAACTGAGGCCTCTCCCACGCTGAGTGTATGTTCAGCCCAGCTGACGGGCAAGAGAGAGCCCGGCCTGGTTTATATTCCCTTGCCAGTACTCCCAGTCTGGGTGGCCTGGGAGGCCCATCAGAGGAGCAGAGAGCAGAGAGAGCCACGAAAATCACCACCAGGGCAAGACGCCAGGTAAGACTCCAGACGCGGGAGACTCGGGGCTGCCAGCAGGGCTTGCCCGGAGAGACAGATGACGTCTTCCTGTTTGAAAGAATGAGCTAGTTCCCAGCACTAATAGAGTTGGGAGAATTCACTCTCAATTTGGGGTTTCTGTTTCTCTTGACTTCCTGACCTGATAGTCCCACCTGGCTATGCCGGTTACACTGCGCTCTCCCGGCACCCCCTCGGGCAGCTGTTTCTGCCTGGCCTGCTTCATCCATGCTGGTGCCTACATGGCTTACTGTGCGCTTGTTTGCCCCGCGACCTCAGCCTACAGAGCTTAGCTTAACGCATGGCGCCTACTGTCTGGAATGCCTACTGGACTCAGCTTGAAGGTCGGAGGGATGCTTGACACCTGGGAGGGCCACATCTGGTACCTGACGCCACCAGCTTCCCCAGTGGAAACGACCCTGTCTGAGCGCAGAGCTGGAGTAGTCTCAAGGACCACCAGGTGTGGCCCCGACCCCCACCTTCTCCAGTAAAAGAAAGAAATGTCTAGGTTTATTCAACAGATATTTCCTGGATCCATCTGGAAAAAAAAGCAACCAATAAAAGACATAAACTGTGTGAATTTAATATTTCAGGAAACTTTGTAACTTACCCTTGAGAGTTGTGACTCTGACAGTGAAAAGTCATAAAGCCCTTTAACATAAGGAGCCCATGAGCTTGTCTAAAAGCGCACTACCAAAAGGAGGAGTTAAGAGGGAGCGCATGCATGCTAGGGTGGGGGAGTGAGAACCCTTTGTAAAGAGAAAGAACAAGGCTGGGAAGCAATTCACTCACTGAAGTGCAGATTTGCAATCAGGAGCCTTTGGGGTCCAACACCTACTGCTACCCACACACACCAGTCCCAACCCTGGTGTCCCCACTAGCTTTGCCTGGAGGCGCTGCTGTCATGCCCCTAGCAGCAAGCGATTTGTGGTTACACCACACCAAAGTTTGCTAGTCTGGGAGAGAATCATAACTGGAAAAAAGTGCGAGCACCATGGTTGGGGGCATGGCCCCTAGACCCCCATGACGTTGGAGAACCATCACGGGGTGTATGAGTTTTGCTGCTGTGCAGTGTGTGACCCCATCCTGGCACCAAATGGGTCTGCAACTCCAGGTCACAACAAAGGGAAGGGAAGTCAGAAAAATAAAAAGTAAAAACTGCATTATAGGGGGCTGGAGCGATACCACAGCGGGTAGGGCGTTTGCCTTGCACGCAGCCAACATGGCCGACACAGGTTCGATTCCCAGCACCCCATATGGTCCCCTGAGAACCGCCAGGAGCAATTCCTGAGTGCATGAGCCAGGAGTAACCCCTGAGCATCACCGGGTGTGACTCAAAAACCAAAAAGAAAAAACCCTACATTATAATAGATCTGTATATTTACTATAGCAGTTGAAATTAAAAAAAAAAGACTGATAATGCCAGATACTGACAAGATTGGGGAGAAACTAGATCTTTCTTACATTGTTCGTGGGAGCATAAAATAATACAGTTGCTTGGGAAAAGATTTTGCAGTTTCTTGTAAACATAATTTAGTATTTACCACATCCCATCAATTATAATCTGACATTTATCCTGGAAAAATGAAAACTCAAGTTCACACGAAAAGTTGCACACAAATATAAAGAGCAATATTTTTATAATAGTACAAAAAAAAGAACCCAGAAAAAGACAACCAAACAAATAAAAAAGCAACTCTAGACACAACCCAAATTGTACCTGGCCAGGGGAATGAATGAACAAACATGTATAAAGTATTAATAAGGAATGAATGTTTTGTGCATACAACATTCTACATCAAACTCAATTACACTATGCTTAGATTGATATAAATTTTAAAATATAAATATAAATTCAGATTGTATGATTTCATCTGGGCTGGAGCGATAGCACAGCGGGTAGGGTGTTTGCCTTGCATGCGGCCAAGCCGGGTCCGATTCCTCCACCCCTCTCGGAAAGTCTGACAAGCTACCTAGAATATCCTGCCAGCACGGTACAGCCTGGCAAGCTCCCTGTGGTGTGTTCGATATGCCAAAGACTGTAACAGAGTCTCACAGTGGAGATGTTACTGGTTCCCGCTGCAGCAAATTGATGAACAATGGGAGGACAGTGGTATGGTGATATAATTTCATCTATGTAACATTCTTGAAGTAACCTAACAGTGACAATTAAGACACAGTGAAGGAGGTGGGTGGGGAGGTGCATTTGTGAATTGAAAAAAGTAGTTTAGCGGGTTCTTTGTGGTGATGGAATTATATGATGATTTTGATAGTTACCTAAATGAATATATGGAATAAAATCGCATACATACATGGACATGGGTCTTAAAATAATCTTAAGTCTACTTAAGTTCTGTCAACAGTACCAATTTCCTATCTGGAGCTTTCTCACTTATGGAAAGCTGGGTGAAGAGTAGATTGTACTGGTTTTGCAACTTCTTGAGTGTATAATTATTTAAAAAAAATTCTTAAAAAGTAAGTTGAGTACCAAGGCTGGTGTTGAGATGAACAGGAGTGTGGGGCTACAGACCGGGGTGTGAGGTGCTCGAGGGGCTTCAGCCGTCAGCTTGCCCTTCCTTAAATTCCCTTGGCCACCGTGACTGTCGGTTCCTCTAATGTCGGAGCATTGTTCACTGTTTCTCAGCCATCCTGCTGAGCAGGGAATGAGAGCTACTCCTGATGGAGAACCAGATCATTTTTATCTGCTGGGTGCAATCTTTGGGCTTTCAGTCCTTTTCGGTTATTAGTTTCCCCATTACCTAATAGAGGCTGCTTCCTTGCTGCCAGAGGTGTTCTTAACATCGAGTCTGTTGCCACTGCAGATGTGAGAAGTTGCCAGAAGACTGTCCTCCAGATATTTGCGCTAGCACGTACCACTGGTTTTTGCAATTAGCATTCGGAATCAGCACTAGCCCTGTCACCTTATGAAAATTCATGCTTTTTAACGGAGAAAGCACATGGACAGCTGATCGTGGAGCTGTAGCCTACCTGGCTTCTTCTCAGTTACCTGTGTTAAAATTAAGCAGAACCGCTGGGCCTCCGCTATTTTTAAACAGGCCCCACGACTTACTAAGGTTAATGCCTGGGGGAACATTAACCTTCAGACACTAATCTAATTCGGTGCCGTCACAAGTGCATGATGCGGGAGCCTGGGCTTTTGCCAAGAGGCACTGTACAAACGAGCCTTCAGCTGGCAAGAGGTGGGAAGGTGGGTGTGGCCGGGGAAGGGGCTCCAGAAACCTTCACACCGTCATCCTCTTTGGGGGGAGGGGCACCCCGTGGTTCTCGGTACTACTGCGGACCAGGTGCTTGGGGCCGGAGCCGGCGGCCGGTGTGGGGTCCGCGCCGGGGACCGCCGGGGAGGGACGCCGGCCCCGGCTCTCCCCGCTGCGGGGCGTGCTCGGCCTTGCCCGTCTCCCCCCGCGAGCGCGGTCGGGCGGTGCGGCCGGACAGGCTCCGCCGCGTGCTGGCCAGCGCCGCAGCGAGGCGGACGCGGGTGGGGACGGGACGGTCGCCGGGGGCCTCGCCGCGACCGCCCCTCGGGGCGCCCGAGCGCGGCCGGGCAGGTGCGAGCCGGAGTCCCGGGCTGGCGAGGTCGCCTGGAGGCCGCCGGGAGGGGCGCGGACGCGGCTGCGCCGGTGCACGCGGGCCGCGAGCAGGGGCGACCTCGGCCTCACGCCCCGCGGGGCGCGGGCGGCGCGGGGGGCGCGGGCGGCGGCGGGCGCGGGCGGCGGCGGGCGCGGGCGGGGCTGGCGGGCGCGGGCGGGGCTGGCGGGCGGGCGGGCGGCGCGCCGTCCCACAAGGCAGCGCGCGCGGCGGCGGCGGCCGCGGCGGCGCTCTAGCCGGGCATGTCTGCGTCTCCACTGCTCTGGAAGGAGGAAGAGAAGGAGGAAGAGGAGGAGGAGGAGGGGGAGGCCGAGGAGAAAGGCGCCGGGCCGGAGCCGCCGGGAGCCGCCGCCGCCGCGTCCCGCGCCCCCCGCCCTCCTCGCCGGCCCGGGAAGGGGGAGCCGCCCGCAGTGGCGCCCGCGCGGGTGAGGCCACGCGAGGGCGGAGGGCGGAGGGCGGAGGGCGGAGGGCAGGCCCGGCGGGCGCGGGCGCGGGCGCGGGGGCGGCGGGCGCGGGGCCGGGGCCGGGGCCGGGGCGCGGGGCCGGGGCCAGCGGCGCGTGCGGCCGGCGGCCCATTGTGCGGATGCGCGGCCTGCGGGCAGCGGCGGCCGGCGCGTGTCCGCGGGCAGCGAGGCCGCAGAGCGGGCCCGGCCGCGAGGTGCCGGCCTAGTCCCCGCGCCCGCCGTCCCGCGCCGGCCCCGCGGGTGACACTGCCGAGCGCGGGCCGGGCCGGGCCGGGGTCCGCACCGGGCAGCGCGGCCACGCCGCGGGCCGGGCCAGCCCCGGGCAGCGCGGTCACGCCGCGGGCCGGGCCAGCCCCGGGCAGCGCGGTCACGCCGCGGGCCGGCCAGCACCCGGGCGGCGCGGTCACTCCGCGGGCCGGCCAGCACCCGGGCGGCGCGGTCACTCCGCGGGCCGGGCCGGGGTCTGCACCGGGCTGCACGGTCACTCACTCCGCGGGCCGGCCAGCACCGGGCAGCGCCGTCCCTCCGCGCGGGCCGGGCCGGCACCGGGCAGCGCGGTTCGTCCGCGCCGGCCGCCCCGGGGAGCGCCGTGCTGCAGGCCAGGACGTGGCGCGGGGCCCGAGGGGACCCGGCCGGGGTTCCGGGAGGGACACAGCGCCGTGCAGAATGTGCCGCGCAGAAAGGGCATGTCCACGTCTCCGTCTGGGCCCGACAGGAGGGACAGTTACTTTGGGGTCCAGAGGAACCGAGAACCAGCGACTGGATGGTCTGGAGCCAGGCTGGAAATGAGCCGAGCCTCACGGATTTGTCGAGCTCCTGCCTGCCTTTCCAAGAGGAAACGCAGAGTGAGAGCCATACCTAGTCAGAATTCATCTGAAAATTATTCACCTTTTGGCATTAAGAAAGACAGTATCCAATGATGATAGTTGAGCGATTAAATGGAAGTAAGAGGTGGAGGTTGAGGTTTGGAAACTGGATGGGAAAATGAAGTCATTTAGCAAATATCTTCAAAGGAGATAGTGCTTTAGCGTCAGTCCAGAGGCATTCGCTAACATTTTTTTCTTAAACCAGTAATTATTTAATACCATTTGTAAAACTTTCTATGTCATTATACTTATTCGTTCTTTTTCATGTATTCAGTGTATTAAGGTTTGATGCACTCAGCATGAGAGCCTGTTTTCCTTCCCTTCACCAGTACTGTGTATTACCAGTTCTTTTAGTTTTTTGATATTTAATGGATATTTAATATACTTAAATATCGTATGTTGTTATTGTTTTCCTCCCATTATAAAAGCATGAAGTAATACATGCACATAATTAAGCAATAAAACTTTCCTGAGGCAACTTATATTGAAAAACAGTATCTCCAGTCTCACCTGTTCATTGAAGTCCCACTTTCCAGAAGCTTCTGCTCTAACCTTAAACTATTGTAGTTCTTATTTTCTCCAGGTGTTCAAGTACGATGCATGTGCTATTATTCTTTTCTATTTGCGTTTGGCCTTACCCAGCTGTGCTCAGGGATCACTCCTGCCAGTGCTTGGTGTACCATATGGGCTGCTCGATTTGCTGTGTGCAAGGCAACTTCCTTACCTGCTATACTATTTTCCTGGCCCTATTATTCTTGATTGTTTAAAATGACATTATGCAGGAGTGGCCAGAAGACTTGTCGTTATGAATAGAGGATTTGTGTCACTGACGTCTTTCCTTGACATTATGTCCTTTCTCTTCCTTTCCAACCCTTGATAGCATTTTAGATTTTCTCTTGATGTCTATATTTATCTTTAGGGTTTTTTTGTTTGTTTGCTTTTGTTTGGGGCCACATAGGGCATTTAGGGATCACTCCTGGCGGGGTTAAGGGTACTGGGGATTGAACCTGAGTCGGCTGCATGCAAGGCACATGGCCTCCCCTACCCCCAGTGCCATCTTTCCAGCCTAAATGTCTTTACACTTTTTAATATTATGTTGAACTCTTGATTTTAAGAGCCTGGCGAACAGGAGATAGGCTGTATCTATGAATTAACTAAATTAGATGATTTAAACTATGAATTAGAGAAAGTGTTTATTAATTTGGGGGAGGGGGAGCAACATGTGTGGTGCTACTCAGGGGCAACAACTGTCTATGTCCAAGGGTCTCTTTTGGTAGTGTTGGGGGGCCATGTAGTGCTGGGGATCAAACCTGGATCAACCCATTAGTAAAACCTGGATTCAGGCCGTTGAGCCATCTCTATGCCCAGAGGACGGATTTGAAGTCAAACTAGGGCCAGGAGTTTGACTCAGCATGCATAAGATCTGAGTTCCATCCCCAGCATCCCCTCGGTTGCCTCTAATGAAAGAAATACAGGGTGAGAGGACACAGGTCAGTGGTGGATGAGCCTGGAAGAAAGGAGGTTGTCAAGGGCATCAGGGAACGCCCTGGACAGTGGCTGAAGGTTGTGAAGGTTGCTGATTGGGATGTGAAGGAATTGCCTAACAGATCAAATCAGTCTGCTCAGTCTTGGAATTAGCGACTCAGCTAACTGGAGGCTTCATTGACAGTCTTCAGGGGGAAAGGGTTAAAGTGACCCTGTGGTGGTTCTTTCCAGCGTCTGAGGATGGTTCTTGTGTGGAATGGTTTGGCGTGGGCAGGTTTCTTTGTGGAGGAGGAAGGGTGGGGATTGTGAAATGTGGCAGGAGGGAGAGGAGAATGAGGCCAGGAGATGAGGAACATGGTGATAATTTTGCAGGAGCCTGGAGGAAAGGTACAGAATTCTAAGGATTTTGGTTAGGTAGTGTGCAATGACATGAGGCTGAGATTTGTGTTATATTAGACCGTCAAAGTTGTTTATAGATTGGGAATATGGTGAGAAAAAGTATGCTGCTCCTATGTTAGACTGGATTTATGAAATGTTGGTGCTTTTGAAATTTGTGGTAAGTGAGGGGCAACATCATCTGGGAGAAGAAGAAGAAAAAGCTTTCCTTTCAAGTCTTTCTTAAATGATCCCACTTGGAGAATCATCTTCACTTTGTGGCAAACTGTATCAGCACATAGATTGTACGCTGCTTGAGAGAATTGTTCTCTGGTTTGCAAATGGCTGCTATATTGTTACCTGCTCTGGAGCAGAGGCTTTCTTTTGTCACCAGGGAAATTTACAGTAGCTTAATTATTAAGTGCTTAATAAATAAGTGTTGAATGACTGATAAAAAGTATTCACCGTTGGGGATAATGGTGGGACTGTGAAATTGCTGAGCACTCAGCCAAGTATTGCAGACAAAATTATGTGTGTGTGTGTGTGTGTGTGTGTTTAAGAAAATGAATCAGGAAGACCTCGTTTAGAATTGAGAGAAGAAGACTTGAAAGGATTAGAACAAAACTGTAACACTGCAGAAACAGACTGTTGGGGACCAAAAATTCTCTCATCTAATCTGAGACTACTTTATTATTAAAAAATTTTTTTTCGTGGGGGTCACATCCGGTGATTCTCAAGGGTTACTCCTGTCAGTGCATGGGGCATCATATGGGATGCTGGGGATCGAACCCAGGTTGGCTGCTTGTACGGCAGAGGCCCTCCCCACTATCCTGTTGCTCCGGCCCTTCTCAGGCCACTTTAATGTAGTAAATCTGGTCTGGAGTAGGAAACTGGTTTGATTTGTATTTAGGCCTCTATGACAGCTGAGGATTTTTAACTGTCTCAAGAGTCTCATTTGATTAAAGTAATTTTGAGGACTAACACAAAAGACCTTTCATAAAGCTTCTTCCCTTAAGAAATTTATGTATTTGTATTCTTTTTGGTGGGGAAGAAGTGTGAGAATGCCAGTTAGGTAATTCAGTGACAGTGTAAGATTCCAGAAAGTGATTGAAAAAGCGTATGAGGGAGCCAGGGAGACAGGGCAGTAGGTAAGGAAGGTTCATGTTTATGCTTTATGCATGGACAACCCGGGTTTGATCCCTGCCACTGTAGAGGGTCCCCTGAGTTCTGTGGGAGTTAACTCTGAGCACTGTGAGGTGTGGACCAAAACAATGTATATAATCAAGAAGTTTACCTCCAGATAAGAGTTTGTGCATTTTGGTGGTCCTGATCAGTAGTGTTCAGAATTTTTTGCAACACCTTTTCTGAGTTATTTTGCACATTCTTGCACATTCAAGATCTTCTTGCACATTCTATACAATTTACCTACTTGCTCAGTACTTGTATACTGTTGGAGAACAGAGCCTAATAAGGTGAGTAAAGTATGTTCTCTATCCTCTAGGAGTCTGTAATGCCTTTAGTATGCCGCATTTATCAACAATGCAAGGCATAATGTTACTCTAAAACATTTCATGAAGACAAATCATTTTAGTTTTGAAGACTTGATTTGAGGAATTGCTGAACAACTGTCAGAGTAAATAAAGAATAGTTTTGGTTTAAATTCAGTTCGTTACAGAAATAGTGATTTTCTTGGGTGACATTAATTGCTCTTGGAAAACACTACAAGTGAAGAGATTGTGACTGTTAGAACAGGGAATGGCTTCATGTATAGTTTGTTAGTTCTGCACTAGATGAACTGGCGAAGTGCGCCGGGTGGATTGAATGAATGAGTAAATGGTGTCCTCTCAAGGTAACTGTTAAGGACAAACTGTTTTTAACATGCAAATTATTTCTGGGGATGCTTGTTAACAGTTTCATTACTGTGAACGAGATAGCTTATGACGTAAGTTTCCAAATGAGTTTTACAGATAGAGCTGTAGGGGTTTGGAGAATAGAGAAATGCTTATTGGCCAAGGTTTGGGGAAAGGGTTTAAGTTTACCATGTTTTAGCTAGATATTTGAAAGGATGCTGTAGAGCTTTCAGTCACTGTCACTGTCCTCCCGATGTTCCATTTGCTTGAGCGGGCCTAGTAACGTCTCCATTGTGAGACTTGTTACTGTGTTTGGCATATCGAATATGTCACGGGTAGCTTGCCAGGCTTTGCTGTGCGGGCGAGATACTCTTCGGTAGCTTGC